TCACAGTCGGATGTCGAGCAGGGCAATGATCGCGAGAGGGAACGCGATGCACAGCAGAGCACGGCATGAGATGGCGTAGAAGAGCACGGCAGAGCGGAGCATGCCATCGCATGGCGTGGCATTGCGCAATGATGCATTACATCACAAAGCATTTCAACGCAAAGCATGGCATCGCACAGCGGCGCAGAACACAACACCGCACAGCATGTCATGCGTGGCGCCAGGTTCCTTGGAGGGTAAGTGTATCGTCTTCGGGAGGTCTGCGCCGGTCTGGAATCGTGGCTCCATGTCTATCTCTTTGGGCTCCCCGAAAAGCTCCACGCAAGGCGTGGCTGATGGAGGGCACCCGCTGGCTCTGTTTTCAACATCGCCTTCTCAAAGCAGAACAAGGGCTCCCGCTTAATAGTTCCTGAAAACGACGACGCCCCCAAAGTGGGGGGGGGCGCGTGCGACCCGCTGTTCGTATGTTTGCAACATTGTTGTTGATGGATTTCCTGTTGATTTCTTGTGAATCTCCATCATCGATTGCCACGTCGACTGTATTCTTATTGCAGGAGGGGGAGAAGGGATACGGATAATTCCCGAATGTAATTTCATTATATTTGCATTGCTTTCCGATTGTATTCTCATTGGTGGAGGAGGAAGGGAGAGGGATAGATGCCTATTGCATTATGATTGTTTTTTTATTGGGTTCCCGTATGTGAAGGAGGAAGCGAGAGATGGAGGAATACCGATTGCATTCTTACAGAGGGGGATGGAATGAGGTGGCCATCTTGTTCTTCAGTGCGATAATATTATATTTGCATTGGAGGATGAAGACAGGATGAGGAGGGAGGGCGGAGGAGGGGGGAGGGGCAGCGGAAGCTTACCAGGAAAACAGGAAAATGCATGACACATAGGACAAAGCGTGTGTATTGCACCAGCAAAAATTAGGAAGCATTACAACCAGAGCCACGGTCACCTGGGTCGCTGCTTTGTCTTAACTTATTTAATCGCTTCGCTCATGCCGCCGGCCCTGGAGCCCTCTTTAGGGCCTCTTGGGGGCCTCTTGGGGACCTCTTGGGAGTCTCTTGGGGCTCCTTGGCGGCGTTTTGGAGGCCCCCAGGGCCTCTTGGGGGGCTCTTGGGGGTAGTCGATTGCGGCTCCCCCCTCGGAGGCCACGATCCTCGTGAGGGGTGTCGAAAAATACCCTCCCCTGGAGTGGTCTGGTGGCTTCTCCCGGGCTTCTCTCGGGACCTTGCCGGGGTACTTTTCGTCCGGGGGCCCCCAGGGGCCGCTCCGCGCGCGCGAACTAGAAATATTGTTAACAAGTTACCGGAGATCTTAGCACGCCTCTGGCCCGTTGGGCCGGCGAATTTTCTCGGTGGGGACAACAAGCGTGTTTCGCGCTTTTGTCTCTATGTTTTTCTTTGTCCAGGGTTTCCTTGTATTCTTCTGCGCCTTCCTCCCTCCTCCACCCTCCCTCCTCTCTCCCTCTCCTACCGACCGAACGCAAACGCAAAAGGATTGCAACCCAAAAAGCAATAGGCCTTCCTCACCGCCCCCTCCCCCCTTCTTTATCTACCGATAGGCATCTCAATTGCATTATTATCGCATTCTTATTGGAAGAGGAGGGGGATGGAGTGAGGTGGTCATCTTGTTTATTATTGCAAGTCTATTGCAATTGCACTGGGGGGGGAAGGTAGGATGGTGGGGGGGGGGTGCGGAGGAGGGGGGAAGGGGCAGCGGAAGCTCACCAGGAACACAGGACAAACAGGAAACACATGAGGAGGCGTGTGTTTCTTTCACATGAACACCAGGAAAGCAACAAGACCAGAGCGACAGTCACAGGAGTCGTGGCTTTGTGTTATTTACGCCTGTGAAAACTAATGTTTTTCATGTTGTTCCTGTTTTGCCCGAGTTTCCTGGTAAGCTTCCGCGTCTTCTGCGTCCTCCACCCTCCCTCCCCAATTCTGTTTCTTCTTCCTAATGCAAGCGCAATTGGGCTGCACACCAAAAAGCAATAGGACCTCACCGCCCTCCCCCTTCCTTATCTACCGATAGGAATCCCGAATGCATTCCGATCGCATTCTTATTGGAAGAGGAGGGGGATCGAGTGAGGTGGTTATCTGGTCTACTATTGCAATTCGGTTGCAGTTGCATAGCAGGGGGAGGAAGGATGGATGAGGAGGGGTGGCGGAGGACGGGAGAGGCGCAGCCGAAGCCTACAAGGAAAACAGGAAGAAACAGGAAACTCGGTAGAAAGCGTGTGTGATCAAGTGGGGAAAAATCGGCACAACCAAAACAAAGAGCGACAGTCACAGGATTCGCGGTGTTGTTATTGGTGCCAACAGGAGTTGTTCTTGCATTCCTGTTGTACCAGTTGCTTCTCTAATCTTCCTGGTGAGCTTCCGCGCCCCGCCTCTCCTTCCTCCAGCCTCCCTCCCCATCTCTCCCTCCCCTTTTTCTAATGCAAGCGCAGTAGGATGGCAATACGAAAGCAATCGGATCTCCTCACCGCCCTGCCCCCTTCCTTGCCTGCCGATCGGAATCCCGATCGCACTCTTACCGCGTTCTTATGGGAAGAGGAGGGGGATGAATTGAGGCGGCCATCTAGTTTCTCATTGCAAGTCTGTTGCAGTTGCATTGGGGGAAGCAGGAAGGATGCCGAGGGAGTGGGAGGAGGGGGGAAGGGGCAGCGGACGCCCACCAGGAAAACAAGAAACAGCAGGAACCACTGGACAACGCGTATGTCCCAACAAGGAACTCACAACAAGCAAAACAACAGCGACCGTCACAGGCTTCGCCGTGCTTCCTTCTTGTCTGTTTGAAACACAAGGTGTTCCATGTTTACTTTCTGTTTTCGAGAAAGAACTTGGTGGACTTCCGCGCCCCCCCTTCCTCACCTACCGATCGGAGTCCTGATTGCATTCCCATCGCATTCCTACTGGAAGAGGAAGGGGATGGAGTGAGGTTGTCAGCTTGCTTTTGACTGCATTCCGATAGTAATTGCATTGGAGGAGGAAGGAAGGGAAGGCGGAGGAGGGGGAAGGGGCAGCGGAAGTTACCAGGAAACCAGGAGAGAAAAAGACAGGAAAGACAAAACAGCTTGTGCTTTCACATGGGCAAATAGAACAGAAAAACAGAGCGGCAGTCACAGGGTCCGTGTTTTTTCTTCATTGTTCTGTTCGAAAGCAGAAGGTTTTCCCTGTTGTGTTTGTTTTATCATTGTCCTGGCAAGCTTCCGCGCCCCCCCTCCCTCCTCCACCCTCCCTCCTCTTCTCTCCCTCTCCTTTTCTAAGGCAAGCGCAACATGATTGCGAAACGCAAGCAATAGGACCTCCTCACCGCCCTCCCCCCCTTCCTTCTCTACCGGTAGGAATACAATCGACAGCAATGCGAACACAATCAGATATTCAATCAGGGACTGTTCATGCTCGTACAGCAAAAAGCGCTGGCTGCAATCGCACAAACGAAGGGCTTCGGCGGCCCAAGAAATCAACGACTCGACACCGAATGTGTAATCACTTCCGATGTTTTTTTTTCGGGGGGGCATTTTCTAGATCTTGGTGTTTATCCAGAAGGAGGGCCAGCGCTGCAGCGGGAGCACGATTCGGAACGAGCGGAAGCGCGGAGATGAGGCCAGCGTTGCAGCGTGAGCACGATTCGGAACGAGTGGAAGCCTGAAAAGGAGGCCAGCGCTCCAGCGGGAACAATTTTCATTTATTGTTTGAACAAAAAACAGCGAAAACCCAATTCCCGGAACTCCTGTGTGGCGCTTAGGTGAGAGTTACATTTTGAAATTGGTCCGCCCTCTATATCCGCGAGGGTCTTGGCAGTTGTTGCCTACGAATGTGCGCGGCGCTGAGGTGAGAGCCACATGTTGAAATCGGCCCGCCCTCCATCCGTGAAGCTCTTGTAAATTCGCAGCTCAAGGATAATAAAGGGTAGTGGAGTCTCAGGCGAAACGCCCGGCCCCGCCTGCCCTACTGACACGCCTCGGGGTGCGACCGGGGATATTTTTCTTGCAGAAGGAGAAAGAATGGAGGAGGGCGAGCAGAAATGCCAGAGGCATCTTGGATGCCTCTCGGAGTCTCTTCGGATGTTTTTTTCGAGAGTTTCATATAGTCTTCTTGAGGCATCGTGCGGGTTTCTTGGCAGTCTCCGGGGCCTCCTGTTGCGTCCTGGGTGCCCTTGGGAGGGCTTCTTGGGGCCTTTTGGGAGTTTCTTGGGAGCCTCTTGGGGGCCTCTTGGGGGCCTCTTGGAGGCACCTCTTGGGCTCCTGGGCACCTTGGGGAAGTCTAGGGGCACCCTCGGGAGCCTCGGGGGCCATCTTGGGTCCATCTTGGTGGAGATCGATCAAAGGATGGGAGCTCCTTAATTGGGGTTCCCTCACCCCAGGGGGCGAGCATGTTGCCAACAGGTTCGTAAAATCAAATGTTTAGGCTTCCTCACCGAGGCCAGTGTGGACGCTCTAGCTGCTCGCGAAACACCCTCCGGACCCAGGGTGAGGGGGAGGGGTAAACCCCTCTCCGAAGGGGAAGAAAGGGGGTTAGAAGAGGAAGCTCGCTAAACCACTCACGCCCTGAAGGGCGGGTGGGATTTGGCGCCACCTCAGGGCCGCAGGGGGTGGGGGGAATCCTCCAGCCAAGTTTGACCATCGTGGGCCTCTTGGGCAACACAGTGATTTTGGGGGCCCTGGTAGCCAGGGGGCGTATTCCTAGAAGGCTCCCACGGCCCAGGGGGTGATTTGAGGAGCTCGTCGTCTCACCGCAGGGGGGCCAGATGTCATGACGACGAGACGTGCCAAGATTTTCAGGCTGTTCTGCTGTCCCATGTGGTTTCCAGAGACGCGGGCTGCAAGGATCCTGCTCCAGAAGCCGTGAAGCCTTGGGACGCATCGGGAGCCAATCGCATCACGACAGCATTCTCGCCCTGCCTCCCCTCGAAACGGGAGGGAGAACCTCCGCGGAGACGGCCAAACCATTTCACACGCCCTCACGCACCCCCGTCGGGCGGAGGCTGGCGGGCCTGCTGGAGGAGCTGCCGAAGTACAAGTCCGCCTTCAACGAGTACATGGACGCGGCGTTTCAGATCGAGGAGACGATCGGCTCCAGGCTGGCACAGCTGCCACCCGATCAATTCGAGGGCATGCTCCACCCGGCCTTCCAGGAGGACGAGTGGATGCTGGTTCTGCTAGGCGGCGTGCTGGGCGTCGTCGTCGGCCTCTTCCAGGCCGCCGTGCTCGGCTCCTGAGGCGGGTCGCTCGGCCTCCCAGCCTCCGAGAGCGCGCCGCCCGACAAAGAGCTGCCCCGGGGAAGGTCTGCAGGTCCACGCCGCGCTGGCGCGGCGTCGGCGCCAGAGCCTGTTTTTTTTTTACTCAGGCAAGTTTACTTGCATGGCGTTCGCCCCCCCCCCCCCCCCCTCGCCCCTCTTCAAGCGAACACTAGCGTGCAAGTGCCTTTCGACTTGCGTGATGTCCGAACGTGCAAGTCGTTTGCGGCTTGCTTCAGGCTCACCCCCCCCCCGTCCCTGCAAGTAAATTTGCCAGAGTCTTAAAAAAACAAGCTCCCAGCGTTCGAGGCTCGCTTGGGGCACCCCTCTGGAGCCCACCCGGCGGGTGTGTTCGACTCTGGTTCGGCCCTGGTTCGGCTCTTGGTTGGGCTCCCGCCCGCCTCTAGCTCGGCCCACGTCGGCGGGCGTTTTGCGCGGCGTGGACGCGTGAGCGGAGCAGGGGGCTCGGGCGAGGTCTCCAGAGCCCAGCGCGGGCGTTCAAGTTCGAGCTTCACCAGCCGCTCGAGTTCGACAAGTGAGCGACGGCAGAACACGGGGTCGCCTCAATCGACATTCGCGCGCAAGCGTCCCGCGTAAGGTCGCGCGTGAGCGCCCTTGTTTCCGATGTGGCGTTCCACGCTGGCGGCCCGCGTCAGCCACCGTGTAGGGTCGCAGTATCATTCTCGCTCAAGGCTCGCTCGTTTTCGACGCTCAATTATTCAACGATCTCCGATGTCGGACAGCGGCGATCGTTCAGGTAACGATCCACGTGCTGTCCGAGACCAGCAGCCAGGTCGCCCAGGCATTTTTCAAATGCCTCGCCAACGCGGCATGAGCGGTGCAGCCTGGGCTCCGTGTGCCACCGCCGGAACGCGGTGTGGGGCCGATAATGCCAGGTTCTTTATCCCGCCAGTTCGCGGGTGCTACAATGGACCGGGCTGATGGCGGCACTTTCTTTTGGGAGGTTGTTGGTCGTTCGTCGTCGTCCGCCGTGTCTCGCTTCGTCGTCGTGTCCGCCACCAAATTCCAAAGAGGCTCTTTGGGATGGTGTCGTTGCGGCACGGCCCTGAGTTGAGTTCCAGGGCGTACGTTGTTTGCGCTCCTGGGCCGGAGAATGGCCTTCCCCCCTCCCCGCCCCTTGCTGCCGCCGCTGTCGCCCTTGCAGCTGTCAGGCCAAGGCCTTCAGTGCCCCGCCAGCTCGGCCAAGAGGTGCGGCCTTGGGCGCGGTGAGACACCTCTGGCACCTCCGGGTCTGAGGCGATCCGCCGTTGACGTTCGCGGAGGGGCTCGCAGCTGCCCGCCCGTAGCCCTTCGGCTGCAGGGCGCTCCTTGCCGCGGGCATGCTGTTGCTGCGCCAGTGGGGGCGCGGTCGCTGGGCAACGCTCCGCGTATTGTCACTCGGGCTCAGTGCAGCTTGCAGCTCACGTGAGGCGCCGCTTGGGCAGCTTAGGCAGTTTAGGTGTGCGGCTCTAGTTTGCTCCTGTTGTCAAGTAGTAGGCCCGCGCCCTGGATTTACGACTCGCCGCGTGCGCTCTCGCCCGCGGCCGCGACCAAAAAGTGTTGTCACCCGGGTGCCGCTCCCGAGCCCCCATGCGCCAGTTTGGCGCGGGGTGCACGGCGGCCCCTGGTTTGCCTCTTCTTTTTCTGGGTTTCCTCCCTCAGGCACAGCGTTTCTGGCGCTGTTGGGAGCTGGTCGGGGAAATGAAACAGGAGGTCTGGTCCCAGCTCGTGTCCGTTATGCCGCCTTTGGCGTTGGCCGTTGGCCACGTTGCCCGTTGGCCAGGGCACGTCGACCCGCGCTCGTCGAGCGCCACGGTTTTGTCTACTTTTTGGGCTTGTGAAAATAGCCGTCAGGTCGTCGCGACGCGAGCCAACCGTACTCGCAAGCTGGCAGGTTGCCACAGGCCATGCCAGGAGCGCCACTGTTTGCGGGCACGATTTATATCCATGTCCACTGCGTCTTGGACTTCTGGGAAAGAGCGCTAAAAAGGCCGACGCGAAGTGGATATGGATACGAGTCGCCTCCGGGAGCCAGGTCTCTATCCACGTCCGCTGCGCCTCGGGTTACTGGAGAAAATAGCTCGAACCTCCAAGACGCAGTGGACACTTAGATACAACTCTCACTTTGGCCTCTTGGCCAGTCTGGCGAATTTCCTTCGTAGGATTGACGAAATTCAAGGACTCCAAGCTTTAGAACACAGCTGTACAAGGTAATAAAGTTGGCGTCGCCCAGACATAACCATACTATGTGCGCGTCGCCTTCCCAGGGGCGACGCGCGCACCGAAGAATCTTATGGCATATGCGCCCTGCCGAGCCCTTTCTGGCCACACCGCTCGGGAAAGGATAACCTACAAACCTGGGTGTGTGTATATGTATATGTATATACATTATACATATGTATAAATATATACATATACATATATACATATATATACATATATATACATATATATATATACATATATATTGTTCGGGTCGGACGCGCGCCTCCTTGGAGGACGCACGGTACTGACATGTCCCTGCGCGCCCCAACAAATACCGGGGGTGGACAGAACCCCCAACAGTGACACGTCGATTCGTGAATTGTCCGTTTTCGGTTCTCGAGAGGACGCCGTGGCCGTTATTTTCCAGGCTCGCGCCCGCCAGGTTGGGGCCCCAGGTCGTTTTCACTAAACCACGTTTTACTAAAGGGGGGTCTGTCCATCCCCAGAAAACACGATTCACAGTCGGCGCGCTCGGCGCTGCGCCGGCTGTGCCAGCGGTGCGGCGCCCCCGCCGCGGCGCCGGCGGTGCGGGCGGTGGTGCGCGCCGCGCCGGGGCGGCGGGTGCCGCTGGTGCGGCGGCCGGGCGCAGAGGCGCCCCGCGTCGGGGGGAGCGGCAGGCTGTGTGTGCTTTTCCCCCCTTGTGCTCTGGGAGGCGGGTGGGCCATGCAGACCAGCAGCGTCGGTCCTCCTCCTCGTCCTCCTCCTCCTCCTCTTCCTCCTCCTCCTCCTCCTCCTCCTCCTCCTCCTCCTCCTCCTCCTCCTCCTCCTCCTCCCCCTCCCCCTCCTCCTCCTCTTCCCCCGCCTACTACTCACTGCTCCTCCTCCGCCATCCCCTCCTTCCCTGATCCTGGGCTGCTGGCTAGCTTTGATGTCTGCACTGATCAGTGGCAACGATCAGGGGTAACGATAGGGGGGGTAGACACAGGTCTAGGCCTCCCAGATGGGGTCGGAGTAGATGGGGTCGGAGGATCGCGCCGCATCGCCGATGCATCGGCGACGCGGCGCGATGTGAAGCCCGATGTTCTCCACCACGACGTCGCCAATGCATCGCCGACGTTGCCGATGCATCGCCGACGCATCGGCGATACATCGGCGATTCTGTGCAGTTTTCCGACCCCATCCATCTGCTCGGACCCCATGTAGGAGGCCTCTCACAGGGAGGGGGGCGCATCGACCCCCAATCGCCTCTTCATCGCCGAGGGACAGCAGCATGCGGATGCCCTCTCGGGGGCCTGTCGCCGATCTCTCGGCGAGGTATCCCCCGATTCTACAGGTCGATGCGCCGCCCCTTCCCCCCCTCTGCAAATAGCCCCCTTCTTACCGTTGCCCCTCAAACAGTAGGGTGGATGGGCTCAGGGTTGAGTCGGGCATGCCAGTCTACAGGAGGAATATTCAGGAATATGAAAGAATAGTCAGGGGACGGCTTTTCGTGCTCTCGTGACTATTTCTGATTGTTTTTTTAATTGTGTTTTCTCATTTCCTTCCAGGATCCGCCTGTAGGAGGACATGCCCGACCTAACCTAGGGGGGGCGCATCGATCATCGGCCCCGAATCGCCGACGCATCGGAGCGTTGGAGCTGAGCCCGTGGGTCTGAGGTGGTGGCCGGCAACGGTTCGGGCGAGCAGGACGGGGGGCGAGGTTCGGGGTATCACAACAGTTTTTTGTTTTTGGGGGGGGAGGGACTTGTTCGCCTTCCCGGGTGCGCCTTCGGGTCCCGGGGCCGTCAAGAACGGAGCCGTCGCGGTGACGAACTGCCCTGGAAGGGGTCCGGGGGCGGGCGAGGTCCCCGGGGCTCTGGGTTCCAGAATTTGGTGCTTGATTTCTTAAGCCATCTGGGGAGCGCGTTCGGGCCCCTTGGCCGTCAAGAACGGAACCGGCGGGGTGACGAACCCCCTTGGGAGGGGTCTGGGAACCGATTTTTTGGGGGATGCTGCTCCATCCCCCCCCCCTTCTTGGTTGATTTTTTCTGGCCCATCCAGTTCAGACCCCCCGGCCGCCTGCAAGTCAAGGGCTCCCGGGGCGCGTAGGCAACCCGCGTCGGGGGGGTGTTCCTCCTCCCGCTCTTCCTCTTCCTTGGCCGTTTGGGATGATTTTTTTTTTTTTTTTTGTTTCAGCGTGCTGTCACCGACACTTCAAAACGGCTGGGTGTCAGCGGGCCATTTTGGCGCGGCTCCCTTTCCAAGACGGCTCGCCCGCGATGGCAGACATGCGCAAGTCCCGCGGCGGCAGCGACGGCAATGTTCGTAGTGGCCCTCGTTGAACGTGCTGCCTTTGCGGGTGTTAAAAAACGAGTCCTACTTCAACCACTGCAAGAACTGCAAGAAGTGGTGGAATGCCCCTGTTGATGGCTGTCAGCAGCAGGAGAGAAGGCTCGTGCAGACCCAGCTGCCCTCCGTCGCTGGAGTTGCTGCGGGTCAGTCCATCACCCCATCCATGGCTAGCCCGCCATCGCCCCGCCCAGCAAGGCGGACTTCGAGCAAATCGTCCAGCTGTGCGAGAAGACTGGCAACCAGGGCATGCTGTAGCAGGCCCAACGTGAGCTCGAAAAGCTCAAGGCCGCATCTGCTCCCCCCCAAGAGTCTGTTGACATGGCCCATAAGGATCTTAAGGTGGTTCATGCGCTCGAGCAGAAGTTTGGCAAATTTCGCAGTCAGTTTGAGCCCACGTTGCTGAGCTCGACAAGTACGACTCCGAGCTCAAGGCCGCCATCTCGGAACTCCACCTCACGGTCACGAAGCCTGCGCCGCCTGAGCCTCCTCTGCCCACCATCGGCCTCGCAGACATCCTGGAAGGTCGTCTCACTGGGCTACAAGTTGACGATGGTAGTCTCTTCGGATTGAAAGAATGCGTGGGGGTGTCGCCGTAGGACCTCGAGGAGGCCGCGAGAAGAACTAACGATCTGGCCGACCAGATCAAGGATTGCTGCACCAAACTCTTCGGGGACATCAAGCAGCGGGCCGAGGAACAGAAGGCGGCGCACAAGGCGCACCAAGGTGCAGGACCGCCTCGCCACCAAGAAGCGCAAGACCGACGAGGATGCCAGCAGTGGTGCTGTTGAGACGACGGCTGAAGTATCGGGTGGAGCTGCTGTCGGCGGTGAGTCTTCGAGTGGAGCTGCCGCGGCAGACGCATCTGTTCCCGCCTTTTCTGCCCCTGCTGGTGGTGGAGCCCCGGCGGCTGCATCAGGGAGTCAGCTTGTCCTGTCGCCCGCGCCAGCCAAGGCAGCACCACCTGCATCAGTGCCCGATGTCCGCGCGGCCGCGCGGCAGTCAGTGCAGCGCGGGGCAGGCGCCCCGCCCAAGGCGCCTGCAGCCGCGCAAGCCAAGGCGTCTGGGTAACAGAGCTGTGACGGATTTCTCCTACCCTGTGATTTTTGCCCAGTTTGGACGCATCAAATTCGTTTGGACGTCGTCGGTCGCAGGAGGCTTCTTCACAGGACCAACGCGAGTTGGAGTTCGCCGCGGCTAATTGTACATCATGGCAGTCTCCCGAGAAGTTTTTGCCCTGACTACTGCGCACGTCGTGCTGTGTGTGAGGAGCACAAGCTCATCGGCTCTGAGGACCTGCGCGAGGCTCAGGCTGGGTGTGTTCGACATGGGCGGAAGGCGCAGTTTGAGCCACGAGTTTTGGGGCCTGGAGGCGGCCCGTCCTCTGGGGTCGGGGTTCTGGCGCGTCCTTTTCTCGGTTTGCGATGCCCCGATGTTGTGCCCTGTTTGAACAACCATCGGGCCACTGGCGTCCTGGTACACTTGCCTGGCCAGGCCAGCTTCTTTGCTGTGAGTGTGCAGCTGCAGGATTGTGCCGGTCATAACGAAACCAACAGAGACGTCCCTCCCTGCGTCGCGTCGCGGGCCAAGAGCACGTCGGCCCCGTTCGCCATCGGGTGCGATTCCCACATGGGGCCGGCGACTCTATGTACCTCTCACGTCCAGTCCAGGCTCGGGGCCGAAGTGCGCCTCCCTTCTGGTGTCGCGGGCACGCGCAGGTCTACTTCGGGAACAAAGATGCATGACTATACGTTGGTCGAGGCGAGGTTGGCGCAATATATATATATATAGAGAGAGAGAGAGAGAGAGAGAGAGAGAGAGAGAGAGAGAGAGAGAGAGAGAGAGAGAGAGAGAGAGAGAGAGAGAGAGAGAGAGAGAGAGAGAGAGAGAGAGAGAGAGAGAGAGAGAGAGAGAGAAGAGAGAGAGAGAGAGAGAGAGAGAGAGAGAGAGAGAGAGAGAGAGAGAGAGAGAGAGAGAGAGAGAGGAGAGAGAGAGAGAGAGAGAGAGAGAGAGAGAGAGAGAGAGAGAGAGAGAGAGAGAGAGAGAGAGAGAGAGAGAGAGAGAGAGAGAGAGAGAGAGAGAGAGAGAGAGAGAGAGAGAGAGAGAGAGAGAGAGAGAGAGAGAGAGAGCGCGAAGCTAATCAGCGACTCGGCCCTTGCAACTCACGACCCTGTTTACATTGAGCTTCACCCCCAGCTCGCCCCCCTCCGCGCCCTCACCTTCAGACCCCCCCCCCCGTTTCGCAGGGTCCGCCCCCCTGCCCCCCCCCCCCCCCCCAGCCGCCCAGAGATTGGGGCGCGGTTCCCAGGTTGGCTTCGCGAGTCCCCGAGGTGGCCGAGAGAGGCGAGACGGGCCAGACCCAGTCTAATTTGGATGTGCTGCGTCGGCAGTCGGGCGCCGCGGCCGCTGAAGAGCTTGGGGGCGCGTTTCCGATTCAGTTGCCAGTCCGCGGTGCCAGGGGGCAACAGGCGCAGTTCCATTGGATAAATGTGGTCGATGCGCCCCGCCGCTCGACGTCTGGTGCCCCCCGCACTTCGAGGGGGGCTACCAGGCCCAGGTGGGTTTGTTCCCGCTGCCGTCTTTGGCCCCAGCTGCGCGCGCTCAGCTCCCAGCCCCGAGCGCAGCAGATGGCGCTAGCCCCCCCCCCCCCGCTTCTTGCCAACC